CTAGTAGACAATTATTATGAACATGAGGGAAAGGTCAGAGTGCTTTGAGATGGAAATTTTAATAACAGTTCATATACATCCCTTAATTGTTCCCTACCTCAAAACGTTCCGTAATTTAAACAGCACACTTCACCTTGGCCTCTTCGTAATAACAGAATAGTTATAAAATGATAATAATGTATGAGAATATTTGTACTTAAATATTTAATAAGTATTTGTTATAAGTCAATACTCCTATATAAATACCTATATTCAATAACACCTTAATAAATAAAATTTAAAAAAATAAACTATAGATTAATCCCAAAGACGGTCTTGGTGTAGTAGTCGGGTTCTTTTCACACCTCAAGACTCTTTCGGATGTTGACATGGACCGATACATGGGACAAAATATATTTGCCTTAATATAAAAAAAAATATATTAACCCGAAAAATTTCCCAATTTAGTCGGTGTTTTTTTAATTGAAATATTTCTTCTATGATTTCATATGCCTACTTTTGTTTTTCCTTTATTTTAATTTTAGGGTTATATAAACATGTAATTTTAATATTTTTTTTATTGTCTTCTAATGCCCGATAAACATAATTTCTGGATGTTGCTCAAGCGTTTGACAAAGTTTGGTACCAGGATATTCTCTTTGAACTCACGACAATACATCCTCCTACCAACTATCTAATTCCACAATCCTTTCTTTCCGACTTATTTTCCTTCGTCCAACACTGGTCAGAATTATCTTCCATCAGGTATATCTCGGCAGGAGTACACCAAGGTTCAGTAAACGCTCCACTACTCTATATCACATACAATCATGGCACACCTTGTAGTTCCAATATTTTAACAGCGACATATGCAGACGACACAGCAATTTTAGCAAGACACAAAAGTCCATCATACGGCTTACAGACCCTACAACAGTATTTAACAAGATTACATGACTGGTTCAAACTTCCGACTAAATCAAGACAAAGTATAGCACATCACATCACGGTTTACCCATCGACGTGAAACATGGCCTCCAGTTTTCCTTGACAATACACAGACTGATACCGTTCACTACCGTTGACCTAACAATAGCATGGAGCCCAGATATAACAAAGAAGAGAAAAATGATACATCAAAGATTCAGAATTCTGAATTCACTTCTTTCGAAACATTCAAAACTAAAACTTAGACAGAAATTGAACACATACAATTACTTACTAAAATCTATTTGAACATACGCATCACAGATATTTGGAACAGTTAAAAAGACTCACATAAACAAACTTCAAATCTTTCAAGCAAAAACATGCAGGACAATTACAAAAGCACCTTGGTACGTAGCAACATAACCTTACATACTCAACTGCATATGCCGACTGTTAACAAACACATTCGAACTCATTATAAATGATTCCACGACAACTTACAAGAACATCCTAACACATTCATAAATGACATGGCTATTACGCCGTAGTAAACTGAAGACGAGCTGGATGAGGGATATCCTCGCCTAATGTAGATATCACGCCAGGAGAAGGTGCCGCTGGGTCCTGCTCTCCCTCACGCCTTTCATGACATTATATTTTTCAACTATCATCACATTCACTGGTTGTCAGTATGATTATGACAGGTGAGAATAAAAAAAAAGTTACTGAATAAAATTTACTTTTATTGCTTAATTTATTTAATATTTCCTAAACAATGCCTTAAAGGACATACCTTCATAACATTTTTTTTACTTTCCTACCTATACGAACCTATTTCCGATATACAGTTTTCGACGGATCTATAGATACGTTCCAGAAAACCCTGTCTGACGTTTCAGTCCGAAAAAAACATTTTTAGCCATTGTTCTGTCTGTGCCAAGATTTTTTTCCGAAAGTAGTGAACCGATTTTGTAGCTTCTTTTTTTATTTTGTATGGTTTTGACTACTTATGCCTGTGACATAAATTAACGAAGTTACAGCTATTCAATTTCCAATGTAAGATTACGGGTTTATGTCCTGGTGTCAGAAAGGGGTGAATGAGAGAAAAAAGATAACTAAGTGAAAGTAAAAAAAATCTGTTGCCCGCATCACACAAGCTTCACTATTTCCTCTACTTTTAACAGAAATTATTGTTTGACAAAATTAGGCTATGGCAAAAACTTTTTGATCAGCAATATTAGAGGGTATTGAAATTTTTACACTGGTCTACCTTAAGCCGGTTTACATTGCTTTGGTTTATCAAATAAATCGTACTTAAATCTTTCCTTTCATCAATTTTCAGGAAAATAAATCTAATTCAATTTATTTTTGTTTGTTTGTTTTTTGATGAACATAGGTAATGAAATACGTAGGAAAGTCGTGGTGGGGACAGACCAGATTTTTTTTCTTGTTTTTATATACGTTTTCATATTTTCGGTTAGCACTTCTAACACTGAAACATCCTGTTTATTGTATCATATTAAAATAACTATTAGCTTCCACATAATCACATTAGCCTTTTATTCATAACCAGCTTTAAAGTTTGAATATTGTATAATACCTTTGCTGATTAGCTGAGTTAGTTCTGAGAGTATAGGCAGTTAATCATGGTAATAGTCGACAAAATGGTCGCGTTCTGGATGGATTGTTATTAGTCGTGCGGGATCCATCATTTAGTGCCGAGGGCTCCTCCATCAGATATCGCCGATAGCGTCTTTAATATTAATTAATGGGCGCCTATAAACCACAATCAACCAAACTATAAATCATTTATTATATTATTGACAATAATTAAACAATATTCCTTCATTGGTTAATATATTATGCTAATTAATATTAATTAATTAATTGGTTAATATGCTAATTAACGTTATAGGGGGGAAAAACGAAAAATGGTATGTGTATCAGTGTGTTTGTATGTTAGCAATCTAGACAAAAAGTCGTAAGAAACTGATAGGTATCAACGCCCGTTTATTCCGAAAAATCGTTATGTAAGTTTTCAAAAAATTAAATTAGTTAATAATTTGATGAATTTTCCCTTTCTGAATTCCAAAATTATCGTGTCTTCCTCTAAAGTACCTTCAATTTGGTTTATTATAAATAATAAATATTTCTCATTGATAGGAGTTATGAAAAAATGCTAAATATAACTTTTCAAAAAATTTGATAATTGAATATAGGAGAAAAAATAAAACAAAACAACATGCATAAGCTCGATTAAAAATGCAATTCAAAATTTTATAATAGTCCAACATGGCCAGAAAATAGTTTATATTCAAAGTTGAGCGGTAATTGAAAGTTGTGTGTTGCGCGCATCAGATTTGTTCAACTAAAGCAGTAACCATATGTTAAGCGGTAGTTTTACGCTGCTCTATTTCGGACCGTTGGTCAATCACTAAGGTTATTGTGGAGCCATTAGATACTAACATTATCGGTTTCAACACTTTAATTAAAGAAGAGATAGTAATTACAAAGTACTATGTAATTATGTTGTTTTTTAAATTATGGGATAAAATTGAACGAACGTGATAATTCTGTGTATTTACATATATGCCTTTGAGTTGACATAATAGTTAACTCCAATTTTAATATTTTTAAAGTTGAAACTTCCTAGGGCGCGTATCGCACTTCTTTGTGGAAACTGAGTTATATTGAGCAGTCAAATCTCCAATATGTAAGGCTCGGGTAAAGTCGGCTGAAGTCGATTAATTGAAGTGTTTTTGCATATGGATTAAAATATCTCAAAAACTAAAAATCGGACCTGCATACTGTAAGCAAGGGAAATATCCAGCATTTCATCTTCTCTGTAATGATCTATTATTCAAAATTGTATCTTAACACGAGACCGTGTTAGAGAGGGAAAAGGGGAAAACAGTGTCAAAAACCAAATTATGGCGTGTTTTATTGAAGATACGAATTAAAATGTCTGATACTAAAAATCGGACCTGCATACTGCAAGCGAGGGAAATGTTCAGCATTTCTTCCTCTTTGTAATGATTTATTATTTATATTTCATATTATTAATCTCGTCTTGATGTTTTCTCTGATATCGTATGTCTAAAGCACACACATTAGTTTTTTTTTTTCATTAAATTAAAATCAATTATATTTCTGTCTTTTTAAGAAAATTCTTTTTTTTTTTAAATATAACAGAAATGTTTACCATCAATTATCAATTACAAACAATTCTTAAAAAGTAAGATATTTCCACTAAAAAAACACTACAACAATGTTGAAATAGATGTTAATCATTCTGAAAGGCTCATATATATGTATTAATCATTTGGTTGGGACTATGCGTAATGTATTCTTCTTACGTACCTATATTGAATTACAAATAACCTGGAGGGGGTCACCCAACTTCATGTTGCTACCATGGTCTCTATGCTGCAGTGGCCAGTCATCCATAAATCCATAGCCATCACTCTTTGGTGATAATCCGGTAATGTCTATTTCATGGATTAAAGGACAGTTACGAATTATTGGAGATCTATAGATTATGGAAATTTAGGATAGTAAATAATCTATAAGGTCAAAAATACAAAAAAAAAAAATACTTTTTATTTATTTTTATTCAGTTAAAATTAAAAATTCAGAATTTTTACGGTCATTTTAAATTTAAAATACCATTACATGCCGTTCTTTACTAGCGTTTGTCCAGAAAATATATATACGTTATTTCGAACAACTTACTAAATTGTATGTAATGAAGCTACAAAACGGTTGGGTGTACATAAAGCGGTCGGGCTCAAACAGTCAGAAAACGAGATCATATTTGCTCGAGATACTGAGGTAAATGGGGGAAAACCCAAACGAAATAATATTTGCCCTTGGGTTGAGGGCGAGACTACCCACTTTGTATAAAAATCAGTTTATTCAGCCACCGCGCTCCTGGTTAGGGGGGGGGGAGTTATGAAGTGGGAGTAGATTTAGCCACGGGAGAGTTAAGGGGGGGGGGATTTAATCCTGGAAATAAGAGAGAAGGGAAGAGTTCAATCGGGATGGGTTGGCCGCAGAGCCAATTCCCTGATTGGATTGGAAACACTTCGCAGGTTCGGGCTCTGCGTGGACATAAACGAGTGCGAGGAAGGGCACCACAACTGCAGCGAGGGGTTCGAGACCTGCCTCAACCTTAAGGGCTCCTACCGCTGCTGCTGCGCCTTCGGCTACTATTGGAACTCCAACAACGGATCCTGTGACCCCATGCAGAGTATCATAGATCGCGTCAACGAGGTACGTATATATACAACAATTTATATATATATTCACATACATACTAAGTGGGTATGCATATATATATACATAAGAAAAAAGGAACACATCCATATATATATACGACAACGTTAATGAAAGCCGGTAAAGAACTAGGACTCGAAATAAACGTGGATAAAACAAAATATATGGTTAGCTGCAAAAATGGCGATACTACTGGTGATATCGATATAGATGGTAATATGTTTGAACAGGTAGATAAATTTAGGTATCTAGGTTCTACGATAACTAGAAAAAACGAAATTGAAGAAGAGATTAAGGTTAGACTGAAGGCGGGAAATGCTTGTTTTTTTTCTGTGACAAAACTACTTAGTTCGTGCCTCTTGTCCCGGAACTTAAAAATTATAATCTATAAAACAATTATCTTGCCTACAGTTCTTTATGGATGCGAAACTTGGCCGCTTGCATTAAGGGATGAGCAGTGTCTTAAGGTTTTTGAAAATAAAGTATTGCGTAGAATATTCGGACCGAAGAAGGATGAGTTAACCTGAGAGTTCAGACGGTTACACAACGCCGAATTGCGTGAGCTGTATCCGGGTAATATAATTGAGGTAATTTCATCGCGGCGAATCAAATGGGCTTGTAAAGTTGTTGGGCTTAGTAACGAGAGAATTCCTAAAAGGTTAATATTTGCTGTGCCGATTGGTAAGCGTCCGAGGGGTAGACCGAAGCGAAGGTGGGAAGACTGCATTAAAGCCGATCTGAAGGGATTGGGTTTGGACGGCGAACGGTGGAGGGAAGAGTGTAACAAGCGATTGGTGGTGTCGGCATCGAACCTTCGGGTTCGCTAAGCCTTATTATTATTATTATTATATATATGGATGTGTTCCTTTTTTTCTTTTTCTGCTCGTAATCTATTGCGTCATAGGTAGATCACAATACTTGTCTACTTTTTCACAATACCTTCACATGTTTCCACTAAAACGTTTTAAGGAACATATATGAATCATTTATTTACTCTAGTTATTTTCTTTTATTCTTATTTCTATTTTTTTTATTATATTGTAGAACTAAAATTGATTACCTATAAAACTTATTTAGCATTTCTTTCTAATTTTATTTAGTTATAAGTATGTTGTTTTTTTTTTTGTATCAATATTCTAATATTGTAACCGTTGTACCCACCTACTTTCCTTAATATACCCTCCAAAACTATGTATATACTCATTTTATTACTTACATTGTAGTTACTCTTTATTACAATAAGGCATCTGGCCAGATTTATTGTCAATTGGTTTAAACAATATTGTTATTATCAAGGGACCCAGAATAAAGATGATTTTCTATTTCTATTTCTATTTATATATATAATTTATTTATTTATCGCGGTATAAGCTATTGAGGCGTAAGTCACTTCTAGGTCTTTATCTTTTCTGCCCATGTTCTTTTCATTTTCTTCTTAACCGCAACAAGAATCTTTATATTTTTCACTATTTTCCCAAATTTATCCCTCTTGATAGCCCTCCTCTTTGATACCCACTTTTTTTCACTTCTTCTTTATTTTTTTCCGGATGGCCTTTTATGATCTTCATTCCCAGTGCTTTATCGAATATTTGTTTGTTTAGCCAATTCCGATCCATTCTCTTCATATGACCGAAGAACCTTAATCTCCTTCTTCTAAGTTTTCAATTAGTTCATCGTTCTTTTATATTTATATATAATCTTCTTCTAATCTTATTCTTTTATATATATATATATATATATATATATATATATATATATATATATATTATTTATTTATCACGGTATAGGCCAACAATGGACCACGCGTATATCAATTCTAGGTCTTTTTCTTTGCTGTCCATAATTTTTTTTCATTGTCTTTTTATCCGCTGTAATAATCTTTATATTTTTCACTATTTTCCCAAATTTATCCCTATCTTGATAGTTCTCCTCTTAGATACCCATTTTTTTTTTCAATTCTTCTTTATCTTTTTCAGGATGACCATTTATGTTCTTCATTCCCATTGCTTTATCGAATATTTGTTTGTTTAGTCAATTCCGATCCATGCTCTTCATATGGCCGAAGAACCTCGAAGTTTTCAATCAGTTCTTTTTTAATCGGTATTCCTCCCCTACTTTCAGCCTGTATCTGTATTCTGCCTCGTAGAGTATCACCGATTTTATTATACATCCCCACATATATCATTACAGTATGACTCGAAATCGGTTTTGTACCAAATATAAGCTCCTGTCATGCTCAAATACCATGAATGAGGTATCATTGGATTCAGAATTTCACGGGGATTAGCGAATCGTATTCTCCACTTTTGTTTTTCTTTCTAAAATAAATAAATTCGATACAAACTTCCTTCGACTTGAGACCTCTATGATCAAGAGAAGAGGAGTTTATATTATTTATCGATGGTGTTTTTGATCGGCAAGCCATATCATCGTTAATTCTTCACCAAACCTCAAGAATGAGCCACCAGTTTTGAAGGCTTCCTTCTCCTTCAGATGGGCAAAATAGTCCAATTACCCCGAAAATTCAGGCAAACAATAATGAAAGAAAACAATTTTTAATTTGCGGATAACTAAAAAATTACACACTTTTACCTTGGTTATGCCCATGATTATATAAAGGATTACTAAATTCCCTACAAAAGGAAAACAAATCATCCGAATCGATCAATTTTTAGAGAAGATATAGATACGTAAACATGTTGGTTCCAAACATTAATTTCTCTGTTCTGTGCGACCACTTACCAATTTCTGCATCCTAGCAGGTCTTTCAAGTCAGCCGCTAAAACATCTACCCACCTCAACTTCGGTCTGCCAGCTCTCTTTGCATTGTGTAATGGCTCCTCAATCACTCTTATCGGGATTTCAGACCTCTCCATCGAAGCTATGTGCCCTGATCAACTTGGCCTTCCTAATTTTATTATTCTTGCCACATTAGGTTCATTAAACAATTCTAAAATCCAGAGCCAAATATTCTTCTAAGGTCTTTTTCGTCATTTTTGGTTGAGGTCCATGTTTGGCTACAATAAATAAGAACTGGCTGGATGAGCGTTTTATAGAGCTGCAAATTCGTTCATCTGCTAAGTAGTGAGCTTAAGCCCAAAATAGCATCGGTTGTCAGCTGTTATTCTCCGCTTTATTTCAAGTGATGTCTCATTTTTTCTCGTAAATTTATAAGATAAGAAACTGTTGATGTTATTCACTAATTAAAACTTTATCTATGCATTAATATTTGTCTGCCTATGGGTATGATATGAGAGAATCTTATTAATGATTAAACTTTACAGAATACCTTTCAGACGAAGTATCAACAACAAATAATCAATATGAAATAATTAATAGTTAAATTGTTGTTTTGGATTGCTGATTATAGGAGAGCTAATATTCTGAGCTATTAGCACAACAAGGAACAAAAATATTTATATTTAGGGAACATTGAATTATTCAGCAAAATAGAACACTTATAATTTATAGGCTAAAATTTGAACCACATAAAATTAACCCGTTACAATATCCTTTAAGGGTTGTGTTTCCTTAATTAAAGTTATTAAATCAAATTGGACGAGTGGAGTAGTTCAGTGATGTTTACTCAAGGTCCTGGGTTCGAAACCCGGCTCATGGTAGAAAAATTATTAATTATGCCTCATCAGCTGTAGGGTGACCCTGGGATCAGGTATAGGCGGATCTACGGGGAGGAGGGCTTTCGGGCTGAAGCCTCCTCCCCCCCCCCCCCAAAATGGTAAAATGTAACCATGTATTATGGAAAAAATATTTTTAAAATATCTATTAAAGTATTATTGTACGTGTAATTTACATTTAATAAGACTTCAAGAATCACTTAAGCACCATTTCATATTTATTATCTTTCTTCTTTTTTTTTCAAAATAATCATCATTATATACATGAAAAGAAGCTTAAGCCTCCTCCCAAAAAAAATTAAATCCTAGTTCCTCTAGTAGGATCAGGAAATCCTCCTAGACACACCCAGCCTCTATAAAGTTGATACTCTTAATTTAATAATTAATTAAGGGAGAAAACCTGGTGGTTGGGCGTGATCTCAGTCAAATCATCGCCTTGCACAACCGTTGACTTAGAAATAGTACTTTCCCTAAGTAGTACTGAACCCAAGATCCTTCATGTAGTGGTACGGTAAAAAATCCTTTTTCTTGTGTCCATATTTATTAAATACCGACTAATGATATTTCACGTTTTTAAAATATTTATTTCTTCTTTCAAGGCAACTTTAATTCAACGGCCGGACAAGTCGGAATTGAGGAAGGGTGGCCACAGGAAACATTTAAAGAAATTATTTTTCTGGCAGCGAAAACAGGAAGAGACCACCGAGGCGACCATTCTAAAAGCCAATAGCCATGGCAGCAGCATCTTGTCCCCATCCCTGCCATTTTGTTTCATTTTATTAATTTCAGTTTGTAATTTGATTTTGACAGGATCCGATTCATCCGTTACATCTTAGTCTCACTGTTACATTATTAATTCTGTCTAAGATAATAATTTTTAAATTTGTCTACGTTTATGATTGTAAAGTTAAAACTAACTAGAATATTAAAAATTAAAAAAGAATATTAAAATTATATTATTAGAATATATTAGAATATTAATATTAGAATATTAAAAAATAGTTAAGTATCATTTGTTAAATGTTTCTACAATATAATTTATATGTATTCCTTTCACTGTTTCATATTTTCAGTATTTACTTTTTGTATTGATTTATGATAATATTAAATCATTCACTACTAAATATATTTTCATTTCAGTATATTTACTTATTAATAATAATTCTAAGTAAAAGTATTTATTATGTTTTCACTATCTTGATACATTTTTAAATTTTATATACTACCTGATAATAATTAAATAATAATAATAATAATTCGCTTAAGTCATCTTCTCTGCGCCCTTTAAATTTATCTATATAACATACTTAAACGAAAAGAAGCTGGTAAAAAAGTTACAAGGGATGGTAAAATTTAATTCCGAATTACTCAAAAAGTTTACACTTTTTTGCTGATATTGTTATAGGATGTTTCAAAAGTTTTTCTTTGTAATTGTGAAGGTAATGTTACTTTAGATGTATAATTGTCTGGAAATAATAAACCATTGTGGAATAATTTGCAGCGGTTTTAATGATTATAGTTGAATTTCTACCACTGGGCGAACACTAATTAAAATAAATAAGTAAGGAAGGATAACTATCATAAAATTATTTGTCAGTCTTCTTTGAGGAGTTGAAAATCAACTCCAATAGTAAATTTCTGAATTTCTTTATTATAATTCTTGAAAATATCTTCCTTCTTTCAGTGAGAAATTATCTCCTTTTTAGAATTATAATTCTTGTGAGGTATAATTGTCGAAAATAGGGAATAATTTATATTAATAAAAAACATCTATATTGAAAGAAATAATGAAAAATAATCAAAAATGGAACATCCTGAATATATTATGTTGCGACCATACTCCACCCTAGGGGGGACGACCAGGCGTTGCCCAGGCCCGGAAGGAACATACCCTCAGGACTCAGACAGATCCTGGACATTTCCATATGAAGGGAGCCGGCTGATGACTGATAGGAGTGCCGGCACAGTACACCTCCAATCAGTAGCCCTCTGTCGGCGCAAATCCCATTACTTTGTCACCGGTTCGTGCCACCGTATTCCGGACCTCTCACCTCACGATATTTCTCTATATTCTCTATCTTATAAGCAAAAAACATAGAATTAAAATTCGAAATATCTATTTTCCACACTTCAAATTTATAAAACATAGCATAGGGTATCAGACTCAGTGTCATAGTCGATGGTACAGACCCATTTTTATCAAATTAACATCCGCATGTATTTTTACAAATATTTTATTTACGAAAGTTCTCGGAATTGGGGCGTTTTCGATATGCAAATCGGCAAACTTTATCTATTTAATTAGGTACTAAAAACTCGTTAATACCCATTTGCTTGCCACATGAATCGTAAAATAATATGATCACGAAATCGAGAAAAAAAGTGGCCTACTAAAATATTGGGCCGTTTGGTCTATAACTATAACCACGTTATTTTGACATTTCGGTGGTGTAGGTCACGCTAAACATCTCAATATTTTTGAAAGCGGATGTTAATAATTTGATAAAAAGAGGTCTGTCCCATGGATTATTACGTTTTATACCTATTACTCCTATAAAATATTTCCCTTTACTTATGGGACAAACTGTATAATATTTACCTATAATCATATAATATTAATATTAATAAATTAATTGTATAACTGTAATATTAATTGAAGAGATTAATGAATTGTTTCGTTCGATTCATCTTTGGAGCCCCCAGGTTCCAGTTGGTATGCCGAGTTGAAGTGGCTTTACCCAGTTCTCCGGCTGCAATGTTTCCTAGGTGTATTACTTTTCCGAACCTTTACAATCAAAAAACCATCTTATGTCTTTAATTTGTTTACTCCTTGTTCCTCTGTCCATTCTTTCAACACGAGATCCCAGTCCATAAACCTATTTGTACTCTCTCATAGAACCGCTTCCTTTAAAAAATGCTTGGCCATGCGTGCTATCTTGTTTTGGAATTCCCTACCAATCTCCATATGCAAACCCTCTTCCTTAACCATATTTAAACAACAATTATTCTTCCAACTCCTAAGCAATCAATCTTCCGAATACATGTGAGAACAAAATTTCATATTTAAGAGCTGACACCTTCATTTGATTGTTATATTACCGTTACTTATATATTAACAATATTGTTAATCATAGTTTTGCCCAAATACGAGACCAAGACTCGTCTTGGTCTTGCTCACTCAGTCTTGATCTTAGTCTAGGTCTTGCAAAAGAGTTTCGCATCAGTCTTGCAGTTACATATTAGCTTATTGCTATAGACAATTGTAATTTTTCAGGTTGGTGAAACCTAAGTCCAAATGAATAATTTGAAGAGTTAACTGCAAAAGTATTTTGTTTATACCAATTCTTTAGATGTAGTAACTAAGATTGTCAGATACTAGTAACTATTTTGCCTTAATTTCTATTCACAAAACTATTTTCTTTTTTACCATTCTAGGTCTTGACCGATTTTCAGGCATTACTAGTTGTTAACGGCGCATACACTCATATTTTTATTTTTTATTATTATTTTTTTCTCACCATTCAAACCTTTTTATATGTCAATAATATTTTTTTTTATCCATAATATTTTTTGTATCCATAATATTAATTAAGTCACGCATAATAACTTTAAGAAAATTCAAAGTAACTATATTTATTGATAGATATTACAATCTTTCACAATTAAGGACATTTCTAATAGTGTTCAAAAAGCACATTCACACCCCATTCACAATAAATAAAAATAAATAATACAGCAAAATAAATGTATATAAACTAAACTAAACTATTCAAAACGAAGATATTACAATTAGTCACAATTAAGGGCATATATAATAGTGTTCAGAGAACACATTCACACTCTTAAGAAAATTAATGTAAAAAATAAGTTTGGACTGTTTTGTAGTATTATAAGCACAAGGATGTTTGCAGACAATATGGACAAGAGACAATTGTCCCAGAAATGTATATTGTTTATATATTTAGGTTTATTCGCGATTGTATTGTCCCATTTTTACATTCACACCATATTGAGTATTGTCTTTATGTTTTAAATCATGTATGTATATATTTCAATTCAATAAATATTGTAAACATTTAGAAGGGGATTTTTTTATTTGTTCATCTTAACATATTTAATTAATAAGTAATTTTATAATATTTTGACGTGCATGCATTTTTCATGTTTTACAGGACTCATTCTCACTAATTTCTTTCCCTTCTTTCCTACCATTTAATTTTGCTCGAATTTTCCCCAACTTTGAGGAAACTCGCTGGGGAATGGTTAGTATTTTCGATTTTGAAGTACCTCTGGCCCCAACACTAGTTAATCAGAACAAATCTGTGAACACACTCATATATATTTATGGGCAAATTAATATGTTTACTTGTACTTAATTTATTTTGATTTTAAAGTTGGATTATAATTATTTTTATTTTCTATTACTAATTATTTTTAATTTTCTTATAGTACCAGACAATTGTCATTTTTTTGTTGACTGTAGTCATTCTTAGAGAATTAATGTCCCAGAATAAAACTCACATCTTCTTCTTCTTAATATAGTTAATAAAAATAAACAAGTTTCACTAATATCACATATACTTCATGGTAGAGCTCTCGCAAAGGTTAGCTAGTAAGATTAATTTTAGTAATCTTAAATATTTTAGCCATTACCCGTAGATAGAAGAATGTTGCAGAAGCATCCTACATTATGCAGATTGGCAAAGTAAAGACATCGCGGAAGGATATTAAGAGGAATCTGTTGTCTCAAAGCGCTACAAGTGGGTCAACTTTAGTTAGTGTAAGGACCACTTATTAGGGCGCTAACAGCTCTCCAAACAGATTGCAGTCTTCTCATCGCTAGGCATAAAACGCCCCTGGTAAACTCCTCCTTCCCCACCTATCTCTACTGCCTCTTTACCCCAAAGGGCTATATATATCCTCCCATATTTGTCTCGGCACCTTAGGATATTAAGTAAAATATCTTGTAGATACTCATTTCATACAGTTTCTGCAAACATCCTTGTGCTTATAATACTATAAACCGATCCAAACTTATTTTTTTACATTAATTTTCTTAAGAGTGTGAATGTGTTCTCTGAACACTATTATATATGCCCTTAATTGTGACTAATTGTAATATTTTCATTTTGAATAGTTTAGTTTAGTTTATATACATTTATTTAGCTGTATTATTTATTGTGAATGGGGTGTGAATGTGCTTTTTGAACACTATTAGAAATGTCCTTAATTGTGAAAGATTGTAATATCTATCAATAAATATAGTTAATTTGAATTTTCTTGAAGTTATTATGCGTGACTTAATTAATATTATGGATATTTGAGTAGTTATTTTCATTAGATTAGTTTCGCTTTATTTAGTTTAGTTTATATACATTTATTTTTAGTATTATTATTTTGCTGTATTATTTATTTTTATTTATTGTGAGTGGAGTGTAAATGTGATCTTTGAACAATATTATAAATGTCCTTAATTGTGACAGATTGTTGTTGTTGTTGTTTAGGTGCAAAAACTGCTGACGGTTATCATTGCCCTGTAAATTGTACTGATTTATTTTTCAACTTTAAAACTACTATTATAAAAATAAATATGTTTTAAAAAGGAAAAAAAATATATACACAAATTACTATCGAGAAGAGAGGAAAAAAAAGTATAGAGTATATAGAAATTAAGTCAATATATCGCAAATTTCTGAGAAAAAATGATTAAGTTCAGATTAGTTGAATTAGCCCTATGTTCTTAATGTGTGACAGATTGCAATATCTCCCAATAAATATGTTTAAAAAGAAAAAATATTCTTAAAATATATATTAATAATTCTTCAGATAGTGAAAA